TTTTCACATGAGAAAAAACAATTATTTGGCCTTTCTTTTTCCATCAGAAATATACATTTTTAGAGAGTTGCAAACAGTTTTGATAGTCACTACATATGTGAGCTTTACATCGTTATCTGGTTTTGCTGGAGGTTTCTTTCTGTTAAAAGGGTGTTTTCCTCTCCACTGACACTTCAAGCATGCTTGGTGTGAGAGATTGCTGAAGAGTCAATAAGTCGATGCAATCAACTGGTTTTCCGTTGATAGAAAACTTTAAATCAATTTCACTGTATTATCTGGTTGAATTGTCTCTGTAAAGTGAGTTGAAATGAGGTGTTGTGAGGTGGCGCTATATAAATAAACTAAAATTAAATTAATTTAATTGTTAGGTTAAAATTCTGGAGAGAAGCATACTGCTGTCTCAGGATGCCTTTTCCCAGAAGGTTCAAAACTCATTTAGTACTATTTCTAGCTGGGGGGTTTAACAGACACATAGTTAGTTTGCTTGGCCGCTCCTTGTGTAATGTAGATTGTTTTACGTTATTTTACGACATAATAAGGACTAATATGAGACCAAAAAAATAGTAAAGTAGGGCAGCTGCAATTTTATGTGCTGCAGAAGTAAGTAGGGATTTAACTCTTGAAGGTAGAAAGTTCTGAATGATGGTTTGAATTATTTACAATTGATTAATATAAACCACAAAATAGTTCACCTCTGACATCTGGATCGTCAAAAGTAAAGAGAATTATCTACGGCCACAGTGGGGGTGATATTTTTTTTGACTACATTAACCTCGAATTAATAACAGCATCAACCATTAACCAGAACATTATACCTGTTATCATCTGACAATCTGTACCTCTGTCAAAACCACACACATTGACACACACCAAAAATCACTCACTTCCTCTCCAGTGGCACTTATTTGAAGACTTATTTGCCCAATTATGCAAATGTGTTCTTTTCCGCTCCGGAAGGCATTCTGTTGCTAGTTTGGCAAATGTGATGTCAATTTAATCCCAAAGTTTAAGATACGAGGGAGCAGGCTTTAGGGTTAGTGGACAGGCCCCTCTGGAGATAAAGTGTGGGCAGTGGATGTGCTGACGGTAAATAAAAGTGCAATATGCTTACAACAAGATTTGACTATGTAATACTCGCTTTTTTGAGTGGGCTAGTTTGATTTATTAAAAGTCTAAAGAGAACACTCTGGCAGATTATTTATAATTGTTTGGATTTAATTTCATAGTAATCCCACTTAAAGCAGTTAATTGTTACTTGCCAATCTCTGTTTGAGTATTATTTTATACAAAATTATGAATGGTATAGTATGTTTTTGTTATTTAGGAGGATTCACAATGGCTTAGATCTGGTTCATAATGTATTAAGTAGAAGAATTAATTTGGCTAAATTACTACCGTAAAACGGGTAACAATGATGTGTAGCTTTGATGTAAACATATTTATTGTAAATCAAACGTAAACATTTATTTTAGGTGATTCTAAATTAAGGAATTCTTAATCAAGAAAACTAAATACAATGTAATTTTTTTCTTAAAACAAAGAAGTAGGACAATGTTGAACTATTCTGATTATCTTATAATTTGTATTGGAATAAATGTAATTTGGTACAAGCCAGCGACTGAATATAATATAGCCTACACTATTTTGGATGGCTTTTAAACTGCAAGTTTATGTTAAAAAATAAGTATAGATTTATTTTGCTAATAAAATTTGAATTCCTTTTTAAACCACTTTTCTAATTGCATTACATAAAAGAAGCATTCTTCAGACATTTTTACCACAAAAGTGCAAAACTTTACATCTATTTTTCTTCATTAAAGGCCACCCAAAAACTGGTCTTGTCCTTTCTAACTTACCCTTTAAAGCTGGGCTCAAAGAAGTTAGAGGCCAAAAGCAATCATCAGAGCTCCGTCCGTATTCAAACTCAATGTGCACCCAAAAGCACACACATGTAGACACCCATACACATACTAAGAGTGTTACGCAACAAGAATCTAGTCTCAATTGCATTTAATCCCCTGTAGCAACTTAATCCCAGGGCTAAGCAAACTCTTCTCGTCAAGCCTCCCTGCTGCTGTTCCAAGAGAGCAGAAGGAAGGACAGAAGAAGAGCTGAAGATAAGACAAGACAAAACAAGGAAATGCTGGAGCTGAAAGGGTAGATTTGACAATGAAGCCAGAGAAGCAGAGATAGAAAAAGTGGAAGGGTTGAAAGGAAGTGCAGCTTCTAGCAATACATTTATGTTTTTCCCCAAACACTGGTTTACTCTTTATCTGACAAAAGGTTAAAGGTCCAACACAACTGATAGAACAACAGAACCAGGAGAAAAAGGGTTAGAAAGTCATAAAAGAAAGAGGAGGATTATAACAAAGAGCTGCACTGGATGTACATTAGAGATTATTTTATTTTATTTGACCCTAAGAAATTGCTGTGTTTATGTTTCCAGAGAACAACATGATTGTTTCTGGAGAATAACATCATTACTTTATGGTGCACTAAATTGGTTATTTGCGTCCATCAGTTAGGGAGCCACAATATAACAATAAAAAAGAAGGAAATGATTTTTAATGGACTCTTTTCTGTCATGTGACTCATTAGATCATTTCCTGTAATGTTGTCATTTAAGGAGCTGCTCAAAGTGAGAGTCTTACCAAAAAAAATGTTTCTTAGATTTTTTGTTTGTTTTTTTAATATACATCAATGTACTACTCATAGATAAATGCTACAATTTGATGCTGAGTAGCAGTTTATTGTTTAAAATATTTAAACTGTTTAGTCCATTGATACATTAGGATAAGAACATCGAGCCAAGTTACAGGCTAGGACTAATCAATGAACAAGTCTACCTGGGTTTTTTGATTACTTACAGATCCTGAGAGTTGAGTCTAAGCTTTCTGGTGATGTCAAATATGTGGTAATAGAAAAAGAATTGAAGAAGATAATTATTATTTGAATGTTGGCTGTCTCCACAGTACTTTCGGGAGAAAACAGGGCTTCAAAGTTATGTTGAAATCACACTGGAAGGCGGCTGGGTGGTAACAAAAGATGTTAAAAATGCCAACTATATAACGTTTTAAACTTCCTGTATATTTTTAATAGTAAACGGACCAGTTGTAAAGGAAAAAAGAGCTTGCCAATGGTTCCTAGGTCCACAATGAATGTGTAATAACTGACACTTAAACAAAAGCTATCTTGACTGTATACATAATATAATGAAATAATGATATGTTATTGCAGCTCTTTTTAATGTCTGTTTTTGTTTTATTTAGAGGACATTTTTAATACAGTATTTTATGGTTCAATTTAAAATAAAAATAAATCAAACTAGTCTTCCAGGTTGCAGCAATCAATCACTCAAAAGGTAGGTAAATAACACCAAAAAGGCATCAAGAGTTGGGTGCGGGAAAAATAGAAAGAAAAGACAGAGGGGTGAATGGAAAATGCCTTGGTGACGTGATCTTTAAACCCTGCAACTGGGACTGTCAAGTAAACTAGTAAATATGGTTTAACACAAATTGCTTTAAACGCCTTTGATTTCATGACATCAGAAAGATAGTTCGACCCTCTCTTCCTCTTTTTCTACTTGATGTTCAGATCAGCTGTGCCCATTGAAAGGCAGTGATTTATTTAGAGAAAGAGAAACAGAATGCAGCAAAGCATTATTTCACAGCTGTATAGCTGTGGATTTAGAATTTATTATGTTATTTTTTTTATTTTTGTTTTTTTATGTGGATGATTGTTCTGCCCTTTTCTAGTTGCTGGTAGAGTGAATCCCAATGGGAAAACCTAGATTTTGGGATTTTGATAGATAAATGCTTTTGGAAGAAAAGTTTTTGTTTTTAGTTGAGGCCACCTGATGAAAGGCTAAAAGCGAAAAATTGTTGCCATAGCCCATTGTACTGACAAAAACATTACTAGGTGAATCTAGTGTACTGCTTGAATGGTATTATTTCATTACATTTTGGTGCAATCTCGAGGGGGACGAGCACAGCTGGGAGCAGATGAAGATGAAGTATCAAAACACTGTTCAAATGGGTAAGACTCGTGCATCATCTCATGGGGTATCTCCTCATTTTGATTCTGTCTTACATTATACAGTAACTACTAACCTGCCTGTTATGCCTGTTTGGCATAGTTGATTCTATAATGCTGTTATTACATATCAATGTGCTCTTCCGATATCAATTAATCCCTTAAATGCTTTGAGGATGGATAAGTAGTGGATGTAACGGTGTACGTACTACATGTGTGATATAAATAATCCCAATTAGTAAAGTTGCTTTTGTTTTTACTGTACAGTCAGATTTGAGCTAATGGTCATCGCTACAGTCATTAGTTTGTCAGCTCTGTGCTGCAATGGTGCAAAGAAGCCTGCCTCCATAGATATGATAGCCACTCCTACAGCACATGATAATAAATAGCAATTTCTAAGGCCATGCAAACATAAAGACTGATACTTTCAGTTCATATATGGTAAAAAATATCATACTTATATATAATATATTACATCTCTGTCAGTAAACCCTTCTAATTATTACACACTGGAGCTTTAAATTCTCCTAAAGTCTCAGAGTTTCTCTTTGTAAGGTTGTCCATATTTTTAAATATACAGTAAGATATACAGTAAGTTTATCTTTCCTTTTCTAATGTTATATAAAACAATTTCCTTCACCAAAATTTAAGGTGAAAATTAGTTGTCCCTTATCAGCAGGCTTGCTAATTTTAAATACTTTTGCACAGTCCTCAATGTTTCATTTACCAGGCATCTCGGTAGAATTTCCGCTGATCCTCATTGAGGAGGGATCATAATGTCTTGAAAGTGTTTCCACTGTTTATGATGTACATTTCCCCATGAGGAGAAAGTACTAAATCTAAATTGAAATGACTGAAAGTGGCAACACTTGAGTCAAACTAAAAGAGAGAGGGAGAGAGATTTCTTTTCATTTGAACAGGAGCAAAGCTCTGCTGTAGAACAGTGATGCTGTATCATCCGGTCCTACCTGACATTGTCATGACGCTGGATGTAGATTTTGTGAAAGATCCTTTCAGGGGGCTTCAGGAAATCCTCTTTCATCTCCATAGCTACGTTTCTGGGCAACAGACTCATTAGCAGGCGCTCCTGAGTGCATGTGTGTATCAAAAAAAAGGGAGAGCAGGGAGAAATGAAACACTTTTCATTTATATGGAGCATTGCAGAAACATTATCACTGTGAAAAATGTGTTGCCAGAAATAAAAAAAATTTTGGGATGGAAATCTGAGAAATATGTGATATGCATATAACACATACATTTGATTTGGGCCCAGGTTTTACCTGTTTTTCATTCTCATCCTCCATTCGTAGTCGTTCTTCAATGCAGTTGCGAGCCTGCAGGAAGGCTTTTCTCTGGGCTCGCTCAGTCAGGATGCGAACAAACAGACCTGACAGGTTGACACTGGTGAACAGCACAGTGTTTGCAACCAGCTGGGAAAGAGGAAAAATGCATCAAATAAATAACTGGTGAGGCAGAGCACTGAGTTGAAAAATAGATTAGGGGAAATTGATCTTGTTGGAAAGGTCCTAAAGATCTCGAAATTAGAAAATTAGTTTGCCACCAAACAACTTTGAAGGAACCCACAGCTTACTATATTGTATATATACAGTAATCTGTATAAGAAAACATATTGAGGTTCTTTGGATTACCTTTTTCAAAAATGGTGATGTCTAATTGTGTTTGCCTGTTCACCAATTTATTGTATTTTATTATTTTTTTTCACACTTAAATCTGTTAGGTCATCAAACAAATGTAATATAAAAGGATACAAAGTTATGTTGTCACATAAAGATTTTACTTATTAACTAAACAAAAAATAAAAACTTACCATTCACACCTGGAATATATGTAAAAATGTTAATGCCTTGTGAACCGATGAAATAACTTTAAAAAATGTATCTTCAATTAAACCTGTCAGGAAACATAGAATATTTTAAAAGATTCCCATTTTTATGGTCCTAATCTAATCTTTAGATCTCCTTACAGTAATTTATATTTATTTACTTATGTCGCTCCACCCCACCCCCCAATCAAACATGTCTTGATCTGGAAAACTCTGGGGAAAAAGTCAATGGCATCAATCACAAAATAATTAAATGCCAATGGTTAAAAATTGTGTTGGTATTATGATAGGCTATGGTGGAACTTTGCTTATTGACTAACCTAAACACAAACTGTAAATGGCTGAATCCATGTTTGCCTGAACGAGAATCAGTTTATTGATATAGGCACAGGCAAGCAGTGTTCAAGAAGCAAAAAAGTGATTAAAAAACAAACAGGGAAATCTACGAAAAAGGAAAAAAAAAGAGTAAAATGAATAGCTGAATTAAAATTTTAGAGTGAACCGGCAAAAGCCTAGACCAGAGTTTATTTGAAACAATTGGAACTTCCGGGTAAAAAAAGGCAATTATTTTAAAAAAAGACAGGAAAATAATTCCTCAACAGTGATGTAAAACCTCCAACACTGGTTGCTTAAAAGCTGTTTCAGCAAACCATCTTAGATTTACTGGCCAAACACTTTTATCCACATAGGGTAAGTGAGGGGTTATAAGTCTCTCAACTTTATAAATGAAATTACCATTTGAAAATAGCTTTTTGAATTAATTAATCTTTCTCTGATTTCGAAATGTGTCTGATAATCTGAAACACAGAAAAATTAAAGGAGGACAGGAGGCAGGAAAAAAATTGATATTAATGTTTTTTTTATAACAAATGATATCACACTTATGTTCACCTTCAAAGAAACAGTAAGTGAACTACAACTACTAAAAGGTAGCCTAATTCTTCGTTTTCTGTATCCATGGCATTGAATCATTGGTGACCCCATGCTCTGATCAGCCATCACCGCAGTGGCTGCAGCAGTGTGACTCCTTTTAACCTTAGTGCTAGCTAATGCTTACTTTGTGGACAAATATACACACCTCTAAAGAGAGTACAACCATGCCTTCATTGTTGACAGTAATTAAGCGCCCAAGGAAATAAATCAAATGATTTATTCATGTATTTTTTCTTCCCTGTTGTGTTCTGCCTTTTTGCTGTCTTAATTTGGTAACAGCTTACATTATTGCAGCACTTATGATTTCAGTACGCATTTTCATAAATACTTAGGCAATACAATGGATGTAATGCACCTACTTTATCTAAAATGTACATTGATTTTGTTTTGCGGTGGTAAACCATATCCGCAACAATACAGTGAAAATTAACCATAAAGAAAAAGAGCTTTAACAAATCTCACTTTGCAAAAGCAAAACTGAAAATGTTTTATTTGTAACTTTCATTTTTATATACATTGGATATTTTGGTAACAAATGCTATTGGAAATAAAGAAATATATAGCTATATATAATTATGTAATATATAATGTATATCATGAAATCGTTGAGAGTGTGATACAATTTGGAACACAGTATGTGTTCTTGTTTAACATGATTTACAATGTGTCACATTTTTCTAAGGATGGTATTGAAACCTAAAGTTAAAGTTAAGAAAATTATTTCAAGTCCAAACTCCTTTTACGAATATATGGATGCAGACTGGGCTTTCCTGATGGAAGAAGTACAAGCTAAATACTTGAGACCTGTTGTGGGTGGTTGGTTCTAACCTGGGACATACAGGCTCATGCCACACAGCTCATCTCTGAGCTTAATGGATTAGCTATCTGTGGTTGCACTGTGATCACCGTCCTTTACAGTGCTACGCAAGTATCTCCTACGTATTGTACTGAACCTCCCCCCAAACAACTTCATCTCAAAGTTATGCCCTTGTGGTATGATAGTGTGAATACCTGACAAAATCTCAGTTTTAAGCGCTCTATAAACAGCTTAATCCTGATTCTAAAAGTAGCGTGTAGGCTAAAATTATCTATTAACCATTAAAATGTTGTGAAAAATGTAGCTAATTCTCTTTTATGAAAATTGATTAAATGCTAAGATACATGGAGTTTGTTTCTAATCACTTTTCTTTTCTTTACAAAACCGAGATCTGGTCCAAGTGGTTCATGTCACTGACCCAGTAATTTGCCCTACTTTTTGTTTTGTCACTCAGTTTAAAGTTCCAAGCCAAGACCCTATGAGGCAGACACCTATGCTTGAGGAAGCATTTAGTGGTTTACAGACTGGTTTAATTCCGATCAATTTACTTTTAGAGCACATATAAAACATCTCAAGTTACACAAGTGTTGTACAGGGATTTCAAAAAGAAATGCAATCAGCATGATATAAAGCTAATAAAAGGAAACGGTGTTAAAAAACACAGAAGTAAAAAATATTAAATAAGAAGCAGTATTTCATACACAATCAGGGCAAAAGGTATGTCAAAAGAGATGTCCTTTGGTTTTAGGCTTGGACCTAAAACTTGCAAAACTCACCAGTTTGGCAATGTTGAAGATTCTGAATGGTTATATTAGAAAACATCTTACTTTTAATAAACTGGACTGTAGTTACCCCACAAATACCACTTTTTTTTAACCCATCACTTGTCACTGTGCCTTTGTTCAAGTGGCTGAGTTAGCACTTTTTGGACACCAAAGACATATACTAGGGTTTTTTATATCCGTCTGATAATATAAGGTGACATCCCCACCCCCCATCCCCACAGGTCTGTGGCAAGTCTCTTGAAAAGCTAAATCTATTATAGGAGTGCTCACCTATTTCACTCTGAGCTTGAGTTATTACCTTTAACTTCAAAACTCAGATTTCGAATGATGAAACCTAGAAGATCCAAATGGAACAAATCTGTTGAACTCAGATGAAGACAAAGTTACACTGGTTTGATATGAAAGAGGTCCTAACCAATTGTTTTCATATATGATTATTTTAATTTAGAGTATTTAGGAGTAGCGAAAGAAATAAATCGATCAGGGAACTTGGTCACTTATCCTTGTGGGAGTTTAAAACTTGCCATTTTTCTTGAACTTTTGCAGTGGTGCACTTTAAATATGTTTACCTCTTTTCATGAAATGACTATGGCAGCAATTTGTTCTTAAAAGATAACTTTTATAACTTCTCAAAATAATAGTCACCCTCCTCTGTCAAACATGTCAGGGTGGTACATAAACCATGACATAACATGTCAGGTTATACAGTATTATGGTTTAATTTTTATAGGCCTTCTGTATACAGTAATGCATGTGTCCACATGCACTTACAATGCACAGAAATAGTTGATATATTTTGTATTTTTGTCATGTGTTTGCGTAAATGACAACTTGATAATTATCATCTATTCTTCTTTCCTTTAATTAAAACAAGGTAAGGTATTGCTGTGGCCTGTTTTGGGTCAGAGTTAAACAAAGCTTCAAAGTGTCTCCCTGCGGGGAGCTGTCCTTTGTGCTGAACTGGCATCCAAACTTTGCAGTCGGCGTTAAATAGCCTACTATAGATGTTGCTGTATAGGTTTTACTAATTAAAAAAAGATGACAGGCTTATTATTCACAGCGCAGATGTAGCCTACTTACCGTTCTCCATAGTTTCTGAGTTTTCACCGTAACAGAAGTGGCAGTCACAATTAGATGCGAGATGGACACCATGACTCCGAACACGATAGCTAAGAGCGTCCTCACAGGTAGCAGCGCGTAGGCGACGAAGGTGACCAGGATGAGTTGCCACACACCCTGCTCTGGGGACGTGGGGGGCTCCAGTCCCATCGCGCCCAGGGAAAAGGGGCAGCAGAGGAAGGAAAAAGTGAAGCTGAAGAGAAGCGTCAGGTTAACAATCTGCTGGAGCTGAGTCACTTGCAGGTACTTGACGTTCGTTACTATGAAGAGGGAGAGGAAGATGATACAGTGGATCGGATGGGACCCCTTGGATATGGTGAGGCTCGGGCCGGACAGAAGCTCCACCACGGTCAGCGTCGCTGAGGTGAAGATGAGGACCGCGAGGGCTTTAAGCGTGGACGTCTGCTCCAGTTTCAGGTTGTAGTTTTGGAAGAGGGACTCCAGCTCCTTGCAGTCGAACTCGTCCTCGCAGGCGATTGTGGTCAGGGGGACACCCGGTGGACAGTGACTTCTTTTTCGCCTGGTTTTGACTTTCTGAAACGGCATTTCCTCCATGTTAGTGCCATTCATAAACTGAATACCTGCACAAGCCTCAGCTCGAACAGCAGATCCCACGCTGAGCCGCCAATGATGGAAGGATGAAGAAAAAAACAGACGCGCACAGCAAGAAGCAGAGCGTCCCAAATAGCGCAGGCTGGACGGACGCGCACCAGACTATCCACAGGTTGGACTGTGTTGTCCAGAAGGTTTAACGGGAAATAAAATCTTCATTTCCTCTGCTGTGTATTAAGTCCTGCTGCAGAACGGATCTTTCAGCCTCCGTTTGGGCACCACACGAGGGACGAGAGACACGACGTGTATTTCTGGATGGATACAGCTTTTTTTTTTTTTTTTTTGCGGGGCTCTGATAGGATCACGCCTGCGCATTGTAAGCTGAAGACAAGACACGTCTGAGCCACTCAGCGCACTGAGTCAAGACGGATTGAGTGGAGACAGTAGAACAGTACAAGCAATGCATCGTCTTCTTTAGGACATGTTTCTGTCATGTTACCCCTGCAAATCTATCATTTGAGTGATGCCATTTGTTTATTTAAATCTGCACACACGTGATTAATTTGCTTAGGGCATACATTAAAAAAAATACATTCCATTCACAATAAGAACTCCCTTAAAAGCAGCACCGTTGTTGGCATTCCGAGGGAGGCGTGTCGCTCATTACCAGCTAAAGATTAATGACCCGGCATTGGCTGCCATCGTTGCGACCCGTCGATGCCATGGAGAGGGTGGAAGAAAGTGACAGATGGACGGCAGGTGCCAAAGTCCAGCACTCGACCATGCCACACTCCGCATGCCTTCTGTCCCTCTCCCCGCCCTCCACCCAAAAACTCTCACTGTCTGTGTCTCTTTGGCTCAGCTGTTTGTGTCCCAGCTTTCACTGATCCAGCACAGAATTGGAGTGAGGTTATAGAATGTGGCAGATAAACAAAAAGAGAGAGAGAGGGGGGGAATGGATGAGATGAAAAATAGAATCAAGGTTTGTGTGTGAGGGAGATTGAGACACAGAAAGATAGAGTAAGAGTTATTTTGGTAGTTGTTTAGTGTGTTTGTCTTTTTTTTAATCCCCACTTCTCGTTTCCATTCATCAGATAGATAGATAGATAGATAGATAGATAGATAGATAGATAGATAGATAGATAGATAGATAGATAGATAGATAGATAGATAGATAGATAGATAGATAGATGTCCCTTTGATGAATGCATTTATCACAAGAAGACACATTTACTCAGGTCCTCAGAAGAGTGATAGTGACATTATTTGTTGCTCCCTCCAAAAAGACCCCCTCCCACTGATTAAGGATGCTATGTTTAGTAATAGAAATTATCTCTAATCCCAGCTGAACTTCAGAATCTGCCTTCTTTCTGTTAAGCAAATCAAGTGATATTTCATTCTGTCTTTTACCTTTTCTTCATGTCTTCCTTTTCCTGTCTGTAATCTCAATCTCTCCTATGAGAGCAAGAGAGACTCAGATGTGGGACACAGGATGTAGGACACCTTGCCTTTACAATGATATCATGTCTTATCTACAGAGATGTACCATCACTGGACTTAATAAGCTGACAAATAAACATGGCAGTCATCTTATCATACAGGTGCTGGTCATAAAATTAGAATATCATGAAAAAGTAGATTGATTTCAGTAATTCCATTTAAAAAGTGAAACTTGTATATTATATTCATACATTACATACAAACTCATATATTTCAGATGTTTATTTTGTTTAATTTTGATGATTACAAATGACAACAAATGAAAATCTCAAATTCATCATATCAGAAAATTAGAATATTACTGAAGACCAATAAAAACAAAGAATTTATAGAAATGTTGGCCAACTGAAAAGTATGAACATGAAAAGTATGAGCATGTACAGTATTTAGTTGGGCCTCCTTTGGCCTGTATTACTGCAGCAATGCGGCGTGGCATGGAGTCGATCAGTCTGTGGCACTGCTCAGGTGTTATGATAGCCCAGGTTGCTCTAATAGTGGCTTTTAGCTCTTCTGAATTGTTGGGTCTGGTGTATTGCATCTTCTTCTTCACAATACCCCATAGATTTTCTATGGGGTTAAGGTCAGGAGAGTTTGCTGGCCAATTAAGAACAGGGATACCATGGTCCTTCAACCAGGTACTGGTAGCTTTGGCACTGTGTGCAGGTGCCAAGTCCTGTTGGAAAATGAAATCTGCATCTCCAAAAAGTTGGTCAGCTGCAGGAAGCATGAAGTGCTCTAAAACTTCCTGGTATGTGGCTGCGTTGACCCTGGACCTCAGAAAACACAATGGACCAACACCAGCAGATGACATGGCACCCCAAACCATCACTGACTGTGGAAACTTTACACTGGACTTCAAGCAACGTGGATGAAGTGCCTCTCTTCTTTTCCTCCAGACTCTGGGACCTTGATTTCCAAAGGAAATGCAAAATTTACTTTCATCAGAGAACATGACTTTGGACCACTCACCAGCAGTCCAGTCCTGTTTCTCTTTAGCCCAGGCAAGACGCTTCTGACGCTGGTTCAAGAGTGTCTTGACACAAGGAATGCGACAGCAGAAACCCATGTCTTTCATACGTCTGTGTGTGGTGGTTCTTGAAGCACTCACTCCAGCTGCAGTCCACTCTTTGTGAATCTCCCCCACATTTTTGAATGGGTTTTGTTTCACAATCCTCTCCAGGGTGCGGTTATCTCTCTTGCTTGTACACTTTTTTCGACCACATCTTTTCCTTCCCTTCGCCTCTCTATTAATGTGCTTGGACACTGAGCTCTGTGAACAGCCAGCCTCTTTAGCGATGACCTTTTGTGTCTTGCCCTCCTTGTGCAAGGTGTCGATGGTCGTCTTTTGGACAACTGTCAAGTCAGCAGTCTTCCCCATGATTGTGTAGCCTATAGAACTAGACTGAAAGACCATTTAAAGGCTTTTGCAGGTGGTTTGAGTTAATTAGCTGATTAGAGTGTGGCACCAGGGGCCATCAATTTTGAACCTTTTCACAATATTCTAATTTTCTGATATGATGAATTTGAGATTTTCATTTGTTGTCATTTGTAATCATCAAAATTAAACAAAATAAACATCTGAAATATATGAGTTTGTATGTAATGTATGAATATAATATACAAGTTTCACTTTTTAAATGGAATTACTGAAATCAATCTACTTTTTCATGATATTCTAATTTTATGACCAGCACCTGTATGTCACCTGTCAGCGGTGCCTTCTCGCCAAGGTGATATACAAATGAAAGACTGTCGTATCATTTGTAGTCTGCCAAACTGGGTGTAATTAATCAGGAACTGATTTTCTGTAACTGATTATATAATAAATTCAACATTCTTAGTGTTGCATCTCCTAAATCAATCCAAACAACAAGGCTGCTGTTTCATTATTTTATGATATGCAGTATATTAAATCCCAAAATATTCCAACCAATGTATTGCAGAATTTTTTTGCCTTGGATTTCCTTTCTTTTAATCTTTTGTTCTGATTTTTGCTTTGCATAAATACAGTAGAGCCATTGTTCAACGTATACATGTTATCCCCTATGTTTTTAGTGACTTCAGGTGTAAGTGGATGGTCACACTCTGTCAAGCCTCATCTTCATAGAACAAAGGGAGGTCTTATGGGAGTTCACAGCACAAAGCTGCATTCCAAGGACACCAGACAAAAGAGACAGACAGGGAGCCAGCTTCCTGCTGCATGCTTTGCTTCTAAAACTTCATCTCTCCCTCTCCCTGCCTGCATTCTGTGTCTGACTTGTTCGTCAAACTAAAAACTTTTCAAAGTGCAATCTTTGATAGAAAAGGCACACACCAATGCATCTAATTTGAAGCAAAGATATGTCAATATGTCTGATATTTTTACATCACAAAAATTTTCTATTGTTTTTTTTTATAGTAGATATATATATATTTTTTGTAGCACATCTGTGTTGGCTGAGGTACCCAGAAAGAAAAGGAACTACAGGTCCCAACATGCCTTGCAGCTCTGACATCACACCATAGGTGATAAAATCCACCATTAGCTCTCCTTTGCACCCTTCCCACTGCTTTGAAGACCACTTCTCAAAATTCCTTTGAAGAAAAAGCTTGTTTAAGCTTGGAGTCAGAGCGAACAGATTGTCTGCAGATTTCCAAACTCCAGTTCTGTAGGAGGGCCCTTGAGCTGAAGCTGCCATCTTTGTTCCTGAGCAGAGAATATTCTTTGTGATCCAAGGGGACTTGACATTTCTCCTCGTTTACTGTAGAGTAGGCCTATCTTGTTGCTTTGGCCAAGCAATCTGACAGGTAACCACTTTCCTCCCTCCCTTTCTTGTGGAAGAAGCTACAGCAATTCCAGGGACATCATTGGGAGCTGTTGCCAACCTGCCTTTCAAACAGGACATTTTGCTTTTTGTCATTCTTTGCTACTTTCATCTTGCCTGGGCAGGTTGATTATTAGAAGTAGCTTTAGATGCTGATATTTACTCCAGAGGGAATTTGCTCACACTTGCTGTTGGATGTTTTATTGATGGATCTGAACTGAACTGCTAAGCCTGCATTGCTGGTTTGTTTCGAGGAGGGTAGCATCCTGCAACTGCAGCCAGTTCCCTCGACATACCAAATTCACATCACTGCTTTGTTTATATTAAATCCACTGATTGTTTAATTAATTTGGTGTTGTTTTAGTTTTTTCTTGTTTGTAGTCTTGAACAGAATAATTGCTATCAGTGAGTTTTGGTGTTTAAAATACCTATCAGCATATATAAATTAGAAGTGTTTGTGGTTCTTTTACATGAGTCATCTGCTATTTTTAAAGAGAGGCCAGTGCTGGTAAACATTTTAACAGTTTGATAATATAGCAACATTTGTTGTGATTTAACTTATTAATAATATTCACCAATTGCACTTATTCAAGTTGTTAACAAGTATGAGTGGTTTAGGTCATAAAAAAATATCTAAAATATCTGGATTTTGAAGTGCCAATTAAAAATCCACTGTTCAAAGACATCTACTCAACATATTCTAATTATGAGTGC